GAATGCTCTTGGAAGCTGACAAAGGAGAATGTAATGTCCACTACCTGTTATGTATATCAAACTTCCAGTACTGAGAGCTGTACAGCCTTATACAGCTTCTTCTTCTTCTTCTTCTTCTTCTTCTTCTTCTTCTTCTTCTTCTGCTTCTGCTTCTGCTTCTGCTTCTGCTTCTGCTTCTGCTTCTGCTTCTTCTGCTTCTGCTTCTGCTTCTGCTGCTTCTGCTCTTCTTCTTCTTCTTCTTCTTCTTCTTCTTCTTCTTCTCCTTCTCCTCCTCCTCCTCCTCCTCCTCCTCCTCCTCCTCAACTAAGGGCAGTACTTAAAAATATATTAAAACACCTAAATCAGTGCAAAAACTTTAAAACCAACAATATAAAGCAGATGCAAAAACAAAATATCAGTGGTAACATATTTTAATATGAGAAAAGAATATCAGGTGAGTGTGTATAAATATACAAGCATCCCTGTGTTGGAGCTTTATGTTTTTGATATGTTTGGAGTTGGTGCATGCAAAACACATGAGAACACTCCCTCTGCCTGCCTTCTGCTTTTCCAACTGCTCCAAGACCCACCAACATTCTCTTGGGCAAAGCAAAAGGCGGAGACAGGTATTTCAATATTTTGATGGAGTGTCCCTTCCTACTAAGCAGGACAGTGAGGACACACTTCCCGCCATCTACTGGCAAGACGGTGATGCTATCCACATCCGTTTCTACTTGTAGAGAATGACAGGAATTAGTAGGCTCCAATGAATTGTCTTTTTGTCCAGGAGCAGTCTCTGTATTCTAGGTAATCATCAGTATGCTTAGGTATTCAGAGCAGCGGCTGATTGCCTGAACCCCAGACATTCCTCCTCCTTCCCTCCCTTCCCATCTCTTCCCTTCCCTTCCCATCTGCATGGGTTTTCCAAAGTTATTTGGAAGCCTTTTTCAAGTCAGCTTCCAGTTGTTTGTATACTAGAGCACCCATCCTCTCTGATGCACTCTGAATGCCTTTCCATGTTTTCATCCAATATATATTAACTGTGTGAATCGAGCAGACCTCAGCCTGCTGCCTTTGTGCCTGACATTGGTGCATCAATCAATGTCTGCACATTGAGCAGAATGTATCAAAAAGAGCACAGGCACGAATGCAGTTGCTGTTGTGCCCCTTGATCATGCAGAGCTCTTAACTGTGTGGAGCATCTATGCATTTGTAATTGTAGGCACTTGTCTTCATTCACCCAACTCAATGTTGCAGAGGACCAGTGGGAACTGACCTTACACCCATGCTGAGGGATGTGGGGTCCTACCATCAGATGGGAAACTGAGGGGTGACCATCAATAGGTAGTACCAGTATTCCATGTAGCTTCATCTTCCTGAAGGTAGCAGCTTTATTTCTCAGCTTTCATTCCACTACAGTTAGGTTCTTAAAGTATTTAAAAATAATGACATATTAAGCTTGCATATCCATTCGGCTGCTATTGTTTGAAGCATTTCTTTACAAATTTACCTGTATATTAAGAAAGCAGGGGAATATGCTTGAACAAAAATAGAAATGAAAATTTCATCCCAAGTCCCAGTACAGTTTTCATGCGCTGTTTTGTTTTCGTCAGTGTATAACACAGTGCTATAAAATTCAATCAGTTTTAGCTTTTGGATTTAGGTAATACTTGTATATATTACAGACCTCTGGAGACAGAAAGCAAATCAGCAAAGTGATAAGAGGATGAAGCCTTCTAGAATAGATTAATAAAGGGGATGGCTGAATATCCCTTGGGCTGAGAATACAGCCTTAAGATTTTTCAACCAGATTAATCATCTATGTAAAATAACCAGAGCACCAAGAGTTCTTCAAATGTTTCTTCTATAAGGCACAACTTGAATGGGGGGTTGTTTCCAATTTGCAAATTAAAAAGCGACTATTTATTTCTTTTATGTTACATTTAGAATTGGATTCATCTCCTTTGAGAACTTTCTCTCCTTTCATTTGTGATATATTTATCTCTGTGCTTTTTTGAGTCACCTTTGTTTTGTTTGAGAAGATACTATTTGCCTTGATTTGGTTTCTGCTCAATATACCATTTCATAGACTTGTATTCCTGGGAGGAAGTTGATATTTAAGGCATAGGAAACAACAGTGCAATCCTGTTCCAAATCTGAGATGAGGCCTGGCAAGTACGGAATCGAGCCTAGGGTGCTTCATTTTCGGGTTCAAGAAGTACAGGGATACCTAAGAATGGAATGGCGGTGGCAGTTATGCGGAACTAGGCAGTAAGTCATACAAAGAAAAGTCGAAGACATTCAGACTATTTGGTTTGGGAGGAGATAGTGTATCTTCTACCAAAGAATTATAGTTTTCTGTAGGTGCTAAAACTTATTTGGTAGAAATCTCCTTACAAGAGTTACAATTCTCGGGATATTTTAGCAGGAAGCAATGAAAACTGTGGTTAACATTTTAAGTTTAGACATGCCTTTAAAGCAGACATGGGACGCTTCTGACAGGTGTATGGGGCCATCAGCCTCTCAGTCACCTGACATTGTATGGCTGCAATTGATTCAAAAATCAAAGAAAGAATCAGTCACACATTCAAAGTGAATCCCTAATTCTTCCTTTTCAACCAAATGTTGAATTCAAGCTACAGCTGCAAAAATTCCAGCAGAAAGCAGCACTAAAATTCATTGTTAAATGAAACCCCTACTCTAATCAGGGATTTGCTTTGCGCAGAAGCTCAGATCCTAGTGAGCTGTGTATTTGGCACTCAATTTAAAACCACCTTGGCTTGGCATTTGACAGGGATTTGGCCACACTCTGATCAGGAGCTCCTGTGTGGAACTTATTCCAGCAGGATTTGCACTTGCAAATTTAGAAGGCGCTGAATGCAAGCCCTGTTTGCAGAGGAATACATTCTAAGGTTTAGAGGTGTTCCCCTACAGCTGTGATTTTACCTGCCTCCACATGCGCTACCTTGCCCCTGTGATTTAGGGAGTTTGGGGCTGTGTGTTGTCAGTGTGCTCTGCGTGCATGCCCCACAGCATGTGCACATGATGTCAGCATGCCCTGTGGCATGTGTGCATGGATGCCATAGAAGTTGGGGGGCCTGGCCCTCTGAATTAGAATTTTGTGGCATCCTCGGCTGCCTCACACTGGTCATCTTATGTCAACAGGTGTGGGGCAGGTGACTGTGGCATCATCATCATCACTTTTTATTTGTATGCCGCCTTTCCACAGTTAAAAAACAATGCTCAAGGCAGCTTACAGCATAAAAAGAGTTACATAATTACAAAAGTCATAAACAATAAATAAACCACATTAAAAAAAAATACGCAACCAAATGGGAAACAATATCCACATAAATCAAAATCTAAAACTAAGAATACAGCATTAATATCGGTTTAAAATGACATAGGTAAAAAATAACAGCAATTTAAACAAAAAACAAAAACAAAACAAAATGGAGCCCTCTCTGCCCAGCAGCAGCAGTGGCAGCAGTCCTTTATAGAGCCCATCAAGCCCCGCCCTGGGCCAGGTTGTGAGTGGCAGGACTGGGGCCCTCAGGCACTGAGCAGGGGAGTCCTCCTGGGTGGTAGCAGCTGCAGCAGTTCTTATAGGCCTGTCAGGGAAATATTGCCTCACAGGTCTAATTAGAAATCTTGGTGAGGCTAGTTTGGCTCATGAGCTGGAAGTTCCCCATCCCTGCTTTAAATGAATGAAGTTCAAACAGGGTCTGAAGGCAGCTTTGGTTATTGCTTCCCCATATTCATGCTTTGGGGGTGCAAGGACATAGGACACAAAAGAGGACTGCAAAATGTATCTTTATGGGACATAAAAGAAGCTGTGTGTTAACAGATGCATTTTTTTGTGGTGTCAAGCATACTAGGAACATCTGCAATGTCTTTATGACAGATATCTTCCAGGGCATTACAAGAATGTCTCTCTCTCTCTCTCTCTCTCTCTCTCTCTCTCTCTCACACACACACACACACACACACACACGAGAGAGTATTTTTAAAGCATCAAACAGCACTTCAGGCATGTTTGCTCTTGATCTTGGAAGGATGCTGTTAACCACTAAAACTAAACATTTATTGCATTGACTAATAAAACAGAGATATATTTGAAAAGGAAAACATATATATTCTTAAGGCTTCCACCTTCTTTAGCTGCTCTGATGTGAATCAAATGGTGCAGTGAGGAGGGAATATTTAGATGTGTTGTATTTGCTGTAGTATATATGCAGACTGTTTTGTACTGTTTTAATGATGTTTTATTGTATATATTGTCGTACACTGTCATGTTGTATTGTACAAATTAGCAGTATCTAATACTTTTATAACCAGATAAATCAATAAAATAGATGGTTTTTCTTGTTACCAATGTTCTTGGATCAGATTGCATATTTATTGCAATAATTGTTCAATCAGACGGACTGTTATTATCTAAATTAAAGTGTTTTGCAACCAGTAGTTCCATTGATTGATTGATTGATTGTCAATCTTGTGGATTTACGGTTCTTAAAATGTTTGTGCATAGGTCAGTTGTTGTTTTACCCACATGCTGAGTGAATGTGGCCCCCTGTCCATTTGCGCTCAATTGGACATTGCATGCTTTTGTTTGATACCTTCAGGATTGGCAGACCTTACTGTAACAGCCTCCATGAGATCAACAGAGGCAATTCAGTGATTGGTTCATTGGTATATGATTCAGAGATTGCTGATTGGTGGTCTGGGTATAGTTTTCACTACTAATCTGCATGGATTTTGAGGCAGGGGCAAAGTTGCAACAGGAGGGTTGCTGATTACTTTAAGAAGTCATCCAGAGTTTTTGTTAACACTAGGTTGCTTCCTCCAATTGCCAGGTGATATTTAGAAAATACTGGATGGGACCCATGTGGAAAGGGATTTCTACATGGAAAGGAAACACAAAGCAAGGTCCAAACGTAGGGCAACTTTACATAGAACTGTAGAGCTGGAAGCCATCCTGAGGTCTATCTATCTATCCTTGCAATGCAGGAATATGCAGCTGTCCCACACAGGGATCAATCTTGCAACCTTGGGATTATCAGCACCACACTCTAACCAACTGAGCTATCCAAGTTGACATGCGGGGGGGGGGGGGGGTTGCTAGATGACCCTTGAGTCCCATAGATTCTATGTTTAAGATGTGTATACAATGTATTCCACAACATATAGTCTTATACATGATGAGCACACACAAGAAAGGTTAGGCTGCTACCCAAGGATTGTCCTAGGTTCCTCCCTGCATGTAAATATGGCTTTTCATATGGGCATTGAATTGGAAGTGGGAGAAACTGAGATATGAAAGCTAGGAGCTAAATGGTACCTTAAACCTAGGTTATGGGTATAACAATGGAACGCCTAGGTGTACATTTTTATAACAAGAATACAAAGCTGGAAATGAATGAACTGCAGCTAAAATATTATGTTCATTTTTCACATGGTCTAATCCAGGTATCCCCAAACTTGGCCCTCCAGATGTTTTGGGACTAAAACTCCCATTATCCCTAGCTAACAGGACCAGTGGTCAGGGATGATGGGAACTGTAGTCCCAAAACATCTGGAGGGGTGAGTTTGGGGGTGGCCAGTCTAGTCCTTCCCCTGCCCACGCCCCTAATATTCTTCAGAAGGTCTCTTCTCCTGTCTTCACAGAGTAGCTGGAAGTGGGGAGGCAGAAAAAGGTCATCCTTTCCTTCTACTCTGCAGTTTTAATCTGAAATCTTAGGCGCAGTACTGTGCCTAGAGCTCAGAAACTGCTTGCACTAATGAAATTCCCTGTCGCAAAATGTGCCTAGAACAGTGGGAGTTTCGAACACTGAAGTGGGATGGAAAGCCCCACTCCTGTCCCTTTGCATGCAAGCTGCGTGTATGATCCCTGTGCATGGAAGCTGGACACACAATGATCATGTGAAGAGTGCTCTAGTGAAGAGCAGCCCTTAATGTCTAAACTGAAAATATCAGATCTCAGAAGCCTCTGCTTTCTAGTATGCTAGGCTATTATATGTTCCAGTCAACAAAAACATATGGATAGGTGATTAATGAATGGCAACAATTCATTGAAACATCTTGCAGTTTTATATCAGTTTTAAATCAGCGCTGAATTTATGTCCTGTTGTGAAGACCAATGTTACAATGGAAAGACAGAGAATTTCTGACAATATTTAATGTTTTCATATGAAACATTCGGAACCTGGGACTTTGAATGGAATTATTGTCTTGCACAGTGCAGTGATATATCCCTATTGCCCTTTCAAATGATGCACCCAGGGAGTTGAAAGAGTCCTCTGGACCCTTTCACACCATATGCTAACAAGCCTTATTGATTACACTTGTCATAACTCTTCTAAAAGAAGAGCCCAGTGGAGTTGTATTTTATAGCCAGAGCGGTTAAGGTTTTAAAAGTGCTGCACTGCCCCATTCTATTAAACAATCTATGCTGCAGAGGCCAGGATAATCTGAGTGCTCATCTATGGCTTTCTTTAGCTCTAGCATCTCTCAGAATGTTTTTGCCATCCTACACTGAAATCCTTTAAAATTCCACAGGTAAAATGAAAGTGTGTAGAAGCAGGCTGGCAGAGGACCTGGAAGAGGATCAGGAGCTTGTGGGCACATAAGATTGATATCAGTGCCCCTGACACACACAACCAGAAGGGGGATGGCCTCCTTGCAATCTATAGGAGTGGAGTGGAACCTCTGGTCTGCTGGCACAGGTCCATAAATTTCAGCAGCCCCTCCCTTTACGACTCCCAGGCAGCAGGGAGGTGAGGTAGAGACAGCAAAGTTTGTCTATTTATTTATTTATTTATGGTGTCCTCTCTGCTGTAGCCAATATAATAGCAGTATATTAATTCTGTTCCAACTAGACTATCCCCTCCCCACACAGGGCCACCAACTGCCCTATGACAAATACAGTGGTACCTTGGTTCTTGAACTTAATCCATTCTGGAAGTCTGTTTGACTCCCAAAACCATTCGAAAACCAAGGCACAGCTTTCAATTGGCTGCAGCACCTTCCTGCACTCAAGTGGAAGCCACGTCGGATGTTCGGCTTCCGAAAAACATTTGCAAACCAGAACACTTACTTCTGAGTTTGCGGTGTTCAGGAGCCGATTTGTTTGACAACTAAGTTGCTCGAGAACCAAGGTACCACTGTATGTTAGTGTGTAAGGGTTTATGTATGCAAGGGGGGAGACAAGAAAGGGTTAAACTAGGTGTGCTGCTTAATTTGGGGTGTGTTTGTCCTGCACCTGCAGCTAGTTAAGCATGCGAGAGTGACTCAGCACAATCTAAAGTATAAATACAATTTGAAGCCTAGTATGTGTTCAAACATTGCCAGGAGACTGTATGCTCCTAGAAGGTCTGTATGTTACAACCGTATGTAATTTATAAGCAGTGCAACTGCATTACAGTGCAAGTAAACCTAGAACTGTCTGGTGTATTTCTGTTCCATTGGCACACTCTGCTGGTGTGTTGAATAGGCACTCTATGTGACTATACCACCTTAAGAACTGAACCTATGTTACTATTTATTTCAGGAGCAAGTAAATTACACCCCCAAGCCTACTATTCCGTATTACGGGAGGAGGGGGAGAACCCTGTAAACTAATCTGGCTTCCTTCTACTGGCTTGCAAGTGAAAAAGAGACAAAGCATATTAAGAAGAGTACACTTCAGATGCTTTCCTTTAGCGCATTCATTACAGAGACCTAGGCTGTGAATTCTGTGTTACCTAATGTCTGCCTGCCAGCTTATAATGTGCCTATTGCCTTCGTTGTTAACCGGCAGTGTCACTGGTCTTATTAAAATAGAAACCAAGAACATTTGCATCATAGCCTGGTGTTATATGACGTGTTTGCATTGGTTAGTAGTTATTTAATTGCAGTGCCATTTCTCTGACTGCGTGCATCTGTAACCACAAATGTCAGAGAGAGAGTTAACGATTGCAGCCCGAGGAAGTTTGCTGTCTGTGTCAAATTAATAAGGGGGAAAGCACAATGGTCTGGATGCAAAGTACTGGGCCCAGATCGTTCTTTGTGCTGCTGTGTATGTGGGTGGTGAAGAGAAAAAACTGTATCAAGAACAATTGTTACCATATAATGAGCCACGCTTCAGTTTTAAGGTCATGTCAGCCTGTGTGCCCGAAAAGAATCAATGTGCTTTTCAATTAAATTAGGTGGGAGCCAAGGGAATTGTGATGGGGGAGTGCAAAAATGACTGTATTTTGGGTTGGCATTGATCAGTTTGCAATATTACCATTATTATTATTCAATGCACTGTTATTCGTATTACTGTTATTATCATTGTGTAGACAGACGGAGACCCCCCCCCAACCCAAGGCTGGCTCCCACATGGAATAAAGACACACGACACTGTGTTATGGGATGAAAATTGGCCACAACTTTATTTAAGATTCAGGTATAGAGAGACCTTGGCTTAGGCCTTGGGCGTTTATCCCTCCCAGTCCTCAGCCGGGGACCTGGGAGACATCAGGGTTATCCAGATTGAGTGGGGATTGGACTGGCTCTGGAGAACGTCTGTTCAAGCAGAGAGCCCACCCCCCAATTCACCGCAACGTGGGGGAGACCAATGACAGCCTCTCGGCGTATGGCCAATGACTCCCCTCAGAACAACCCCTTTAACGGGGAACCCTGGGATTGCCACCGCAGGGGGGAGGCGTGGGTCACTGCTTCATGGTCCCCCTCCCCCATTTTAGGGAAGAAAGATTAAAGGATTCCACCCAAGTCCTGAAACCGCCAAAGTTGTGACGTTTTGCTATGGGGAAGGTAAAACCTGCCAATGCAGGAAAATTCCTTTCCGGCCCTTTAACAGTGACCAATGCATAGCAGCGCCAGCACACCTGTGAAGAAGAAGTTAACCTGCAGAGGAAAGCTTAACTGAGGGAGGGTGGGGTGGGAGAAGCTATGGAGCCGACTGTGATCCCCCAGGTAAGTTCCACCGTCTATTGTGTGGGTAGGGAAGTCCCACCCCCTACCTGGCCAACTCCCCTGGCAATGCCTCCCCCACTGGGATTGGTCCAAGGTTGGGTGGGAACCTCCAGGTACCCAGCCGGGGGCGGGGCATGCCAGGCAATACTGTTAGGAGCCATGTAGGATCAGGGGTGCTGTGCACGTCCACACAAAGTATGCCCCCCATTTGATGTGGGGAGTGGTCATTATTAATCAGCACCTAGAAATATCTGTGCTCTGCACATTCATTAAAAGATAAGGTTCACAATCTAATAGACAAGATATAAAAGAAAAACAAAATGGGAAGGGAAGAGGAAAGCAATCGACATCAGAGAGGTCTGGAGGGTGGCAATATGAAAACAGGCCTTTTCTATGGTGGCTCCACCTTTGTGGGATGCTTTCCCCAGGAAGGCTCGCCTGGCACCTTCATTGCATATCTTGAGGTGCCAAGGGAAAATGTTTCTTTTTAACCAGGCCTTGGGCTGATGAACATTCTATGTCCTTTTAAATGTGCTTGTGGGGGGAAGTTATTAGTTGTTGTTTTTTATGTCTTTTTTGTTCACATTTTGTAATTTGTGTTGGAAGCCACCCTATGATCTTCAGATGAAATGCAGTGCACTGGCTAAACCTATAGCTAAGGAAGCCTTTACCTTACTTTTGTGTGGCAGAGTTTTGTTCTTGACTCCCTGAGTAACACTATCAGTCTGTGCAAGTGAGATCTATAACAACATGCTGAGCTGTGTCCATAATGTGCTGCTGGATCTGATCTTCTTCTCCCCCCCCCCACGTGTTCTGTTGTTTATTCTGCTACTTTTGTCTTCCCCTCTTGTCCTTGCTTAATGATCTCCTCCATCTCCCATCTTGCAACAGATATTGAGAGGGGCTCCATTAAGAACAAATATAATTTTTGATGAAAGAAGTGGTCTCTGTGGCTGGAGCGCCTATGCTTTCCTTTGCTTGGTTCACCATTTATGGACAGGGAGAGCCAAGCCATGGACACACACACTCTGGTAATCTCCAGGTTCATTCAGGGGGAGGGGGGAGGGGTGCTTGACTGACTCCTCCCTGCAGCTTACTTTCCTCTGCCACGTGAGTGTATACATGCACAGATTTTTGTGGG